ATTCTGCCTGGATAATTGAACAATAGGCTGCTTAACACTTTTCCAAGAAACTGCAGCTCTTCCAAATAGAAAAACAAAACCTGAAGTAGACTTTAAGTCATCTATGCACCCTGCAAAATCAGCATCTGCATAGCCAACCAATTCTAAGCTCTCATTCATTTTGTAAACTATCTTAAAATCCTTTGTCCTCTGCAAGTATCGCATGATTTTCTTCCCTGCTACCCAATGAGCCTGTCCTGGATTTGATTGAAACCTCCCTAACACACTTAAAGGAAAGGCTAGATCGGGCCTTGTGCAGACTTGAGTATACATAAGGCTGCCAACCAATGAAGCATAAGGCTTATCTGCCATCTCCAACTTCTCTTGATCTATTTTTGGCGCTTGTTCACGACTGAACTTATCTCCTTTGTTAATAGGCACATCACCCCCTGCACAGTCCATCATATTGAACCTTTTGAGTATTTTCTCAATGTACCCCTTTTGTGAAAATCCTAACAAGCCTCTTTTCCTATCTCGGCTAATTTCTATTCCAAGAAAATAAGATGCCTCTCCCAAATCAGTCATTTCAAAATGCTTAGATAGGAAGACCTTAACATCATGCAACAACGTGAGATTAGTGCTTGCTAGGAGAATGTCATCCACATAGAGCACAAGTAAAACATAGTGCCTCCCACTGATCTTGACATATATGCATGAATCTAGGACATTTTCTATGAAATCATATGTCTTAATAACTTCATCAAATCTCATGTACCATTGTCTAGAAGCTTGTTTTAAGCCATATAGCGATTGTTCAATTTGTAGACCATGTTTTCCTGTCCCCTTTGAGCAAAACTCTCAGGCTGCTGCATGTAAATTTCTTCCTTCAAATATCCATTTAGGAATGCAGTTTTGACGTCCATCTAGTAAAGGTGCAGGTCAAAATGTGCAACCAACGCCATGATCACTCTGAATGAGTCTTTAGTGGATACTGGTGAGAAGGTTTCTGTATAATCAATGCCCTCTTGTTGTGTGTACCCTTTTGCAACCAGCCTAGCTTTGTACCTGTCTATTGCCCCTTTCGAGTCCCTTTAAGTCTTATAAACCCATTTGTAGCCTATAGGTTTACATCCTTGAGGTAAAACTTTTAGTTCCCAAACACCATTCTTTCTCATTGACTCTAACTCAGATTTCATTGCAGCCAACCACCTCTCATTGTCTTCACCCATTATGGCTTGCTTGAAATTCTCAGGATCATCCTTCCCAAGTATGTCATGCTCAGATTCTTGTAGATATACATAGAAATCCGGCAATGCAGATCTCTTTGCTCTTTTTGACCTTCTCAACTCCATATCCTGCATATTTTGGTCTGTGCCTTGAACGTCAATATTATTTTGCACAGGTAGATTCAAACTTCCTGCTTGAGCTGTGTCTGGAATGTCGTTATTGTCTTGCACAGGTGGATTCATAATTTCTGCTTCAACTGTGTCTTGTGCCTGATCCGTGTCTTCTTCCATATTGTCAAGGTTTTCATAGTTTGTCTCAACCGCAGGTATTATAACAACGCCTTTACTTGTCTCAGATCCAGCATTGTTATCAATCTGCATTGATTCTTCATCAAAATCCAAAACTCTATCTTCTATTTCATCATATTCATTTTCCATGAAAACTGCCCTTTGAGTTTCAACAAATCTTGTAGTGTTCTTTGGACAGTAGAACCTATACCCTTTGGATCCTTCAGGATAGCCGATAAAAAAACAGCTCACAGTTCTTGAGTCTAGTTTCTTTTCCACAAGGTTGTAGAGCTTTGACTCTGCTTTGCAACCCCAAACCTTTAAGTGGTTTAAGCTTGGTTTCCTTTTATTCCAGATTTCGAAAGGGATTTTGTCAACGCTTTTTGTTGGAACTCTATTCAAGATATAGTTTGCAGTCTTCAAGGCTTCTCCCCACAGGAAAATAGGGAGATTGGTACAGCACATCATGCTTCTTACCATGTCTTTTAAAGTCCTATTCCTTCTCTCAGAAACTCCATTCTGCTGAGGTGTACCTGTATTGGTATACTGAGCTATTATACCTTCTTCGTGGAGATATCTTGCAAAGGGACCTGGATTTCTTTCAGCTTCATCAAATTTGCCATAATATTCTCCACCTCGGTCTGACCTTACCACTTTAATCTTAAGTTCCAACTGTTTTTCCACCTCGGCTTTATAGATTTTGAACATATCTAAGGCTTCTGATTTTTCTTTTATTAAATAGATATGTCCATATCTTGAGTTATCCTCTGTGAAGGTGATAAAATACTTGTATCCATCATGTGTTGGATTTGGAAAAGGACCACAAATATCAGTGTGAATTAATTCCAACAAATTTTCACTTTTTACTGCTCCTTTCTTCCTTAAGGTGGTTAGTTTTCCTTTTATGCATTTAACACAGTTTTCATCCAACTCATTAAAGTCAAGTGGTGCTAACACAGATTCTTTGCATAGGGTGTTCAGTCTTTCTTTTGAAATATGCCCGAGTCTTTTGTGCCAAATTTTTGCAGAAGTTTGATTCTTACATTTTGTGCTTGTGATGTTCATAACCATTTGAGGAGCCTTGCAAATTAACTGAAACATATTGCCAACGAGAATTCCATTTCCAACTAACTCTTTATTATTGTAAATTGAAATACCAAATTCATCAAAACTCAAAGTGAGCTTTGATTTTACAAGCCTAGCAACTGAAATAAGGTTCCTTGTCATAGAGGGAACATATACTACACCTACCAAATCCAAAACAAAACCAGAATCTAATTGAATCCTAACTGCTCCAATGAACTCCACTTATGCTTTGACTCTATTTCCTACGAACACCTTCACCTCATCCTTGTTTGGCAGTCTCTTGGTTATAAACCCCTGCAAAGAATTAGCAACATGTATTGAAGCACCACTGTCTAACCACCAAGTATTAGTTGAAACATCAATCAAATTTGATTCAAAACATACCAAAACATTTTCAGTCTTACCTTCATTTTTGCCTTTGTTTTTTGCTTTTCTAACCACCTCTGGTACCTTGTGCAGTTCCTTTTCATGTGTCCAAATTTTTTGCAGAAATAGCATTTCAATCCAGTTGGCTTTCCCTCTTTCATCTTGGTATTTTCCTTATCTTTCTTTTCTGCAAAATTTCCCTTCTTTTCTTTGGATTGTTTGACACAATAATCTTGTACCATATTCACAGTCTTTTGACCCCTTTCCATGATGATATTATTTTCTTCTTGAACACTTATTTTTATGAGATCATTCAATGTCCAGCTTTCCTTTTGAGCCACATAAGAACTCTTGAGAGTTTTGAATTCTTTTGGCAGTGAATTCAATGCAAAATGCACCATCATATCATCATCTATAGTCATGTTTAATCCCTTTAGCTTGTTCGCAATGTCTGCCATATTCATTATGCGAGCTCTTACACAACCACGCCCATCATACTTCATCTCAGTCAATTTGTTCAGTAGGATACCTTTCTCTCCTTTCTCAGATTCTTTAAATTTCTGACCAATTGAAACAAGAAAATCTTTGGCACAATCTGATCTTGGAATACTTCCTCTTAAAGAAGGTGTTATGGTTTTCAGCATAATCAGTGTAGCCATTCTGTTGGCCTTTTCCCATCTTTCATATTTCCTTTAGACATCTGCAGTTGCATCTGCAGCAGGTTCCTTAAGTGCATCCCATTTTAGAGCTATGTCATAGTCCATTAGCCCTAGTGAAATTTCCAGCTCTTTTTTCTACTTTAGATAGTTTGAACCGGTCAAGATTTCGATGGAGTTGTAGCTTGTAGTATTGACTGTAATTTCAAGAAAAACATAAATACAAATCCCCAATAACTTTAATTAAACATTATTGATTTGCATCTGTAGATCACAAATCAAACATGTTCCATGGTCTTCGAACAACGAATCTGTAGAAGCAGTCTTGAAACAACGAATGATTCCACATCTGTGGATGGAGAAACACTCATTGTTTGCTCATACAATCTGTTTTTCTAATCCGTTCCATTATAATCAATCCTTTTTGCACAATTCACATATATGGACAGAGATTTGTACAAGAGAGATTTTATATAATGCAATCTTTGATCAGGAACTTTGAATGAAGAATTTCCTGCATCGATTTAGTTGTTGTGGCTCACTTAATCAATTCAAGATCCTCTCCAAACTTTGATCAATCAGTCTTTCAAGCATGATTTAAGCAGAGAACTTTATGCTTAACTCATACCTTAGCAATTAAGATATGCAATCAAAACTTACATGCTTATAATGACAGTATAAAACATATTCTTTTAAGGCGAATTTTATCTTGTAATTAGGTTAAGAACATATAACCTGGCTCTGATACCAGATGTAAACTTAATAGGTTTATATATGCTCAAAACACATAACATACCTTGATCAGACATGGTGATAATTACTGCAGCAAGGAAACTGATTTCTTGCTCTGGAAGAAACTAAAATTCTGCAATAGGTTCTTGGCTGGTTCGCCGGTTCTTGGACAGATTCGCAGTATCGTAGTAGGGTAATTTTCTCTATGCTATCCGGCTCTTGAATCTCTTCTTGATGAGGTAGAATAATATGAAAGTGATTTGCCATTAGCATAGGGACCTCCCTTTTATAAGCATAGTTTAAGAATCCTCCTCATCATGGATTACTTAAACTCCCTTAGCCAAAAGGATTAGGTATCTCAAACCATTTAATATAGGAAATCTTAAGCACTTGTATTTATCTGAAAAGTCATATATATCAAGCCTTAAAATAAATCGATCCATGTAATCCTAATTGACATTGGACTAGTTATCCTTAAGTGATTAGAAGACCATCTTTAGGGTTTGTATTAGAATGCAAATCTTACATGGAAACCCTAATAAAAGATATATCACACCGATATAAACATAAAGAAAGAAGAAACCCTAATGGGACCAAAGAATCAGAAGAAAGTTAGGAAGGAAAGAAAATATTAAAGCAGTAAATAATCAAGAAAAAAGACAGAACCCTAATTGATCAAAGATGGCTGCATCAACCAATTGATCACATGATTGTGCATGAAACCAGAATAAAAAGAAAGGCTACTAATAACAATATATTCAAGCAAGAAATATATAAGTTACGGAAAATTAAAGAGAAAATAAAGAGTACTCCAAGAAATCGTATTCAAAGAACTAAAACGATCCAAATATAATAATACAAGACTGGAATGAATTACTTACTTGGTTGTTGTTGTTGACAAGGCACCCAGCAAGCCAAAACTCATGCATGACCCATTCTCCCTTTGCTATGGTGGACGTCTTTTTGGGAACATATGAGAACATTCGCTTATACCCAATAACAATTTTGTTTGGTTCATTATCATTAACACAGATAACCTTATTGCTCTGGTTTCTCCACGTAACGCAGCCTCCCGATGACATCCTCTCTACGCGCGAACCTTTCCCTGTCTTCTTCTTCAACTCGGTGAAGAAGTAGAGACTTGTTTCACCCGTTTCGTCGAAGAGCTTCCGCCATATTTCTTCCTCTCCATAAAGATCACACTCAATCACTGCGTTGGAAGAAAGTGGTAAACCGTTTACCTTGTTGTAAAGATAGTGAGCCAAGAGCTCCGCTTCATATGGCTCGAATCGACATCCCACCAGTAATCCCAGACTCCTAGTAGTCTCCATGATGATTGAACAACAATATGTGACAGAGAAGGTAGGTTTTGTTTGCTTTGAAGTTGAGAAGGAAAGATACGAAATCTAATACTTTGTAGGGGCTTGGATGGTATATATAGTCTGAGTAAAGGCAGCTTGTGTAAGTAGATGGTGTGGTTTACCGCGTGGTAATTTCTTCTCTCACGCCACATTAGCCTTTTTTTTGTTGGATACATTATCCTCTTAATTCTTTCAAATTTTCATATATAAAAGAAAAAGAAAAGACATTGTATTTGAAGTAATCGATTTATAGTTGTAGATGTGGTTTACAACGTGTTTTCTTTTTATCTCACGCACGCCATATTATCATTTTAAATCAAATTTTCATATAAAAGAAAATGACATAGTATTTGAAGTGATCAATAAGCAGTGATAGGTTCTAGCTCTAAAATAAATAAGAAATTTACAACTCGCTATAAATATTTAGGATGGGCTGGGCAGCATCCACTGGCAGACCCATAAATTTTTTAGTGGAGGTGCAATATTGACTAAGTATGAAAAATGGTTTTTCGGAATAATCATTTTCTCAAGATAATTTTTCACGACTTTTATTCCTTACACATCAAATAAGAAAATTTGATTTTATGGGATTTTAGTATGAAGTATATATTGACTTAATGAGCCATCATTTTTAGCCTAAATCGTATTTTGCACTAAAAATGAATTTTCATATTTTGATTTTGTGGGAATTTGATTTTCTAGTATTTATATTTGAATCCAAATGAGGGGTACTTCCTTATTTATATTGTAAACTTAAGTAAATGGAGTAATATAAAAATAAATGAAAGTAAAAGGACAAAGACATTTACACGTCTTACCATACACATAATAAGAAATAGCATATACATAATGAGAAATAGCATATCTAAATACAGGGGCGGAGCTAGAATTGTAACGTTGGGGGGACAAAGTAAAAATTACGAGTATATAAAACACCTATGTATTCAACAGCTACTATGCAAAAAAGAGGATAGAAATGTGTATGTTCGGGAATCTGCAGCATCATTTGTTTCGATGGCTAAAAGGATGAAAAAATTCCAATAAAAGTACAAGAGACTTGTCAATGCAGCATGTTAATGGTTCTCTTTCACAAGTAAAGATACTTATTTCCATCTGTGATTTCTTTTTGAGTTCTTTTTCATGTCTCCTTATTCGGTTTTATTTTGTCAACATATCTAGTATTGAGGTTAATGTTGTTTCTATTATTCAGATGAAGCCCAAACTCACCTTGACAAGGCTTAAGGAGCCCGAATTTGAAACATCCCAACGTGTTCGGTCAGTGAGAGTGAAGAGTACTGATGAGCTTGAAGAAGAGATTATGGCCAAATTTTCAAAGTTAAAGGCTCGACCACGACACAAAAGGTAACTTTGTAATTTGTTTTACTCTTATTATTTATTCATGATTTGATATCAGGTGTATATTTGTTGGATTCATTGGATCTTGTTGTTCATTGGATCAGTGAGAGTAAAGAGTATTGCTGAGCTTGAAGAAGATCTGTTCACCAAAATTTTGAAGTTTAATTCTCGACCACGAAACAAAAAGGTAACTTTGTAATTTGTTTTACTCTTGTTTTTTATTCCTCATTCGATTTCCAGCCTATATTTGTTGGATTTATTGGAACCTCATCGTGGAGAATTGTAGCTTGTAATGTTGTTTTTAAAATGAATTATGAATGGAAGTACTATGATTTCATTTTCAATGTTTTTATTATCATAAATTATTTTTGGAACTTTTACACTATAACTTTATGAGGTAAGATTCTTAGATTTGTCACTGGTTGAATGCCCAGTTGCCCACCTTACATGGCTGACTCGACCACATGGGATGAACGTTGACCACTTTTCATGGTTGCCCGTCACCTTGCACGGCCGATCCGACCACCTTGGATGAACGCCGACCAGTTTGCATGGTCACCCGCTACCTGGCGTGGTCGACCCGACCACTTTGCATACGCTCACCACCTTGGAATAAACCATGCTCTCCCCACCAAGTAACAGGCTGATCGACTTGACCATATTTTTTGTACTCATCTCACCTATGTTGTCTCCACGTCTTACCATACACATAATGAGAAAAGACATACCGACAGAAAGGGGCAGAGATAGAATTGTAACGTTAGGGCACAATGTAAAAATTACGAGTATATAAAACACCTATATATTCAACAGCTACTATGCAAAAAAGAGGACAAAAAAGTGTATGTTCGGGAATCTGCTGCACCATTTGTTTCAATGGTTGAAAGGATGAAAAGATTTCAATCAAGTACAAAAGACTTGTTAATGCATCATGTTAATGGTTCTCTTTCACAAGTAAAGATACTTATTTCCATATGTGATTTCTTTTTGAGTTCTTTTGCATGTCTTCTTATTCGGTTTAATTTTGTCAACATATCTAGTATTGAGGTTTATGCTGTTTCTATTATTCAGATAAAGCCCAAACTCACCTTGACAAGGCTTAAGGAATTCGAATTTGAAACATTCCAACGTGTTCGGTTAGTAAGAGTAAAGAATACTAATGAGCTTGAAGAAGAGATTATGGCCGAAATTCCAAAGTTAAAGGCTCGACCACGACACAAAAGGTAACTTGTTAATTTGTTTTACTATGATTTTTTATTCCTCATTTGATCAGTGAGAGTAAAAAGTACTGCTGAGTTTGAAGAAGATATGTTGACCAAAATTTTGAAGTTTAATTCTCGACCATGAAACAAAAAGGTAACTTTGTGATTTGTTTTACTCTTGTTTTTTATTCCTCATTCGATTTTCAGCCTATAATTGTTGGATTTATTGAAACCTCGTCATGGACAATTGTAGCTTGTAATGTTGTTTTTGAAATGAATTATGAATGGAAGTACTATGATTTCATTTTCAATGTTTTTATTATCATAAAATATTTTTGAAACTTTTACACTATGACCTTATGAGATAAGATTCTTAGATTTGTCACTAGTTGGATGCCCAGTTGCCCACCTTACGTGGCCGACTCGACCACATGGGATGAACGTCGACCACTTTTCATGGTTGCCCGTCGCCTTGGACGGCCGACCCGACCACCTTGGATGAACGCCGACCAGTTTGCATGGTCGCCCGCCACCTGGCGTGGTCAACCCGACAACTTTGCATACGCTCACCACCTTGGAATAAACTATGCTCTCCCCACCAAGTTATAGGCTGATCGAATTGACCATATTTTTTGTGCTCATCTCACCCATGTTGTCTCCATGTCTTGCCATACACATAATGAGAAACGGCATACCTACGTAAAAAGGCAAAGCTAGAATTGTAACATTGGGAGGACAAAGTAAAAAGTACGAGTATATAAAACACCTACGTATTGAACTGTTACTATGCAAAAAAAGAGGACAGAAAGGTGTATGTTGGGGAATCTGCAGCACCATTTGTTTCGATGGCTGAAATGATGAAAAGATTCCAATTAAGTACCAGAGTTAATGCAGCATGTTAATGGTTCTTTTTCACAAGTAAAGATACTTATTTACATATGTGATTTCTTTTTGAGTTCTTTCTTATGTCTCTTTATTCGGTTTTATTTTGTCAACATATTTAGTATTGAGGTTAATGTTGTTTCTATTATTCGGATGAAGCTCAAACTCACCTTAACAATCTTAAGGAGCCCAAATTTGAAACATCCCAACGCATTCGATTAGTGAGAGTAAAGAGTATTGATGAGCTTGAAGAAAAGATTATGGCCAAAATTTCAATGTTTAAGGCGCGACCACAAACAAAAAGGTAACTTTGTAATTTGTTGTACTCCTATTTTTTATTCCTCTTTTGATTTCCGATCTATACTTGTTGGATTCATTAGATCTTGTTGCTCATCAGATCAATGAGAGTAATGAGTGCTGCTAAGTTTGAAAGAGATATGTAGGCCAAAATTTCAAAGTTTAATTCACGACCACGAAACAAAAAGGTAACTTTGTGATTTGTTTTACTCTTGTTTTTATTCCTCATTTGATTTCCAACCTATATTTGTTGAATTTATTATAACCTCGTCGTGGACAATTATGGCTTATAATGTTGTTTTTAAAATGAATTATGAATGGAAGTACTATTATTCATTTTCAATATTTTTATCATCATAAATTATTTTTGAAACTTTTACACTATAACCTTATGAGGTAAGATTCTTAGATTTGTCACTGGTTGGATGCCGAGCTACCCACCTTACCTGGCTAACTCGACCACATGGGACAAACGTCAACCATTTTTCATGGTCGCCCATTATCTTGCACGGCCGACCCGACCACCTTGGATGAATGCCAACCAGTTTTCATGGTCGCTCGCCACCTGGTGTGGTCGACCCGACCACTTTGCATAAGCTCACCACCTAGGAATAAACCATGCTCTCCCCACTAAGTTACAGGTTGATCGAAATGACCATATTTTTTGTGGTCATCTCACCCATGTTGTCTCTACGTCTTACCATACACGTAATAAGAAATGACGTATCTACATAAAAGGGGCGGGGCTATAATTGTAATGTTATGTGGACAAAGTAAAAAGTACGAGTATATAAAACAACTACGTATTCAACTGCTACTATGCAAAACAAAAGATAGAAAGGTGTATGTTCGGGAATCTGCAACGCTATTTCTTGTGATGGCTGAAATGATGAAAAGATTCTAATCAAATACCACAGACGTGTCAATGCAGCAAGTTAATGGTTCTTTTTCACAAATAAAGATACTTATTTACATCTGTGATTTCTTTTTTCGTTCTTTTTCATGTCTTCTTGTTCGGTTTTATTTTGTCAACATATTTAGTATTGAGGTTAATGATGTTTCTATTATTCAGATGAAGCCCAAACTCACCTTGACAAGCTTATGGAGCCTGCATTTGAAACATCCCAACGTGTTCGATCAGTGAGAATAAAGAGTACTGATGAGCTTGAAGAAAAGATTATGGCCAAAATTCCAATGTTTAAGGCTCGACCACGAAACAAAAAGGTAACTTTG